TTTTTTTTTTTTTTTTTTTTTTTTTTTTTCCCCCTAATATCATCGTCACGTTACGCGTCCTGTGCCGTCAGCCGCGGTACCCTAGCCGTTTTCCGCGACAATAATAGTTCCGTGTCGCGGTACGCTGTAATGGTAACGACGTACCGGTCCCGCCCGGTACGTGCGCTTCTTTCGCCCGTCGGACTTTTACGCGCGCGCACACGCCGCGGCCGCAGACGCGAAATCATCGCCTGGCCGCAGCCGCCGCCGACGCACCACGGCTGAGACGGTTGGGCTCCATCGAGGCGGCGACGACGGCCGGCCCCGCGGCGGCGGAACACCGTGGTCGTCGACGCCGCCGTATCTTTCCGTTCCCCTTATCTCCTACCTGCCCGTAAAATACTCATGTATACCCGTGTACCTGCCTACCGAACATACTCTTCCGACCGCAACCCGTTTCCGAGCAGCCGCCCACTCCCCCACCGCCGCCGCCGCCGCCGCCGCCGATGCCGACGACGACGGCACTGCCGACCGGTAGTTTCGAGGGGGGCCCTCCCCACCCCCGGGAAGACTGCCGCCGCCGCCGCCGCCGTCGCCGAGCTCTTGGTGGTCGATCGAGTCGGACGTCAGTATTCGTTTGCTCTCGACTCCGACCGGTAGTCGGAACAGCAATAACACTCTCTTCGCCTTTTTTTTTTTTTTTTATTGTCTTTCCGTTCTCGCGGTCTTCCGCACTTTTCGTCTTCGTCGTCGTCGTCTTCTTTTTCTTCTTCTTCTTCTTCTTCTTCTTCCTCTCCTCCGCGTCTTCATCGTCGCGCCCCGTCCGTCCGCCATCGACGAGTCTCGCGCGCTCTCTATAATACCTATATAACGACTCTCACACCGGCCTATAAAAACGATATCGCGGCACGATCGTGTCGTCATTCTCTCGCGTTCGGAATTACGTCTTCGTCGTGATCCGTCTCGCACGTCACTCCGCCGCCGTCGCCTTTTTACGTACGCATTTATTATTATCATTATAATATTTTTACCACTATTATTATACTTACCCGTTATATTTCATACAACAATAACAATATTATAGCTGTCGTTATTATTATTTTTTAAATCCGCATTGTTGTCCGTTATTATAGCATTATTTTATTATTATTATTATTATTATCGCTGTTATTACCCGCTATACCTACCGTACTGTTGTTAATATCATTATTATTATCATCCACATGCCGTATGTCTTGTCGTTTCTATTTTCGCACGCGTACGTCCGTCGGCGGGACTCGATTCTCTCTCTCTCTCTCTCTCTTTGTCCCTCTGTCTCTCTCTCTCTCCCTCTCTCTCTTTGTCCCTCCGTCTCTCGAAATTTTCTTATTTTTCTCTGCTCGGCCCGGGTCTTAACGTTGTATTTATTATACGTATCCACGGCGAAACGCACACGCACACACGCGTATACACACACACACACACACACACACGCACGCACGCACAGATACGCACATCACGTCCGACGCATCGCCGCGGCCGCGTCGCCCTGCGTGTACGACGCGCCGCCGACCGAAGACACACCGCGACGACAACACGATAAACACAACACAATGCACGATGCGATATCGGGGCCGCCAGTGACGACGACGACGGCGACGGCGACGACGGCGACGATGACGACGGCGGCGACGACGACGACGACGACGACGACAACGACAACGACGACGATGACGGAGATGACGATGATGGTGCCACTGAAAATGGCACTGAAAGAATTCACGGGGTATAATTTTACACACCGCCCGTAGTTCTTCTGTGCCTTGCTCGGTGACCATTAGAAACGCAAAATCTCGTTACGCGCCGTTTAAGTATACTATGTATTGGGTCGTCGTCGTGTATCGGTTTTTTTTTTTCAATTTTTATTATAGTTTTTGTTTTTTATTATAATTTTTTTTTTTTTATTATTATTATTATCAAGGTTCCGAGAAATTTTTTATTTTTTTGTTATTTTTTTTTCATTTTTTTTTTTTTTCCTATTTTATGCCGGAACCCAATATTACAATACCGCTATTATTATAATAATACAATGTACATTACGCAGTAATAATAATCGCGACACAAAAGCGCATTTATCTGTATACGTGGTAATGCACGCGCGGCGATAATAATTTATAAGTAAGTTTATTTTCGGGTAAATATTTGCTGTTTTTCCGGAAGGGGGACGGGGCGGTTTACTGTATCTTTTTTTTCCGCGTACACGTATTCCGAGTATGTTATTCATTTCCCCTCCTCCTCCTCCTCATCCTCCTCCCCCGCACCGCCCCGCGAAATCGACCGTCGAACTGTACACGCGGTTTTGCTCGTCTTTCACGCGGGCGTATGGCTACGATCGAGCATATATGCACAACTGCAACACCGAATTATTATAATAATATTACAACCGCGGCCGTACGTGTCGGTATGAATAATAATAACAATTATTATTATCGTTTTTAAACGCTACGACGGGTTACGCATTCGTACGTATAGGTACTCGATTGTTATTAATTCACAGCCAGCCGCCGTATTCCATGATAAATACTATAGTAACAATAATAATACATACATTAATAATTTTATACTTACGATATTTTGGTTTTGGTTTTGGTTTTTTTTTTTTTTTTTTTAATTTTATTTTTTCTAAAATGTGTGTTTGTACAAGCGTATGTTAAAATGTTTGTAAAAGAACGCTTGGTTTCATATTATGTTTTATTGCATTATCTGTATATACGTCGGAGGAGGGGGGACTGGGGCGGGGAGGAATGGTTTTTTTTTTTTTTTTTCAATTTTTATTATACGTGCTCCACAATACAATGTGTGCCTATAGGTATTACCGGTCCGTATAACAGATAAACGCGTCCGCCGTCGCTACACATAATTGTATCGCACACGCGGATATACGTACTATTACATTGTACGCGTACCGACCAATTCAATACGCGTTTCATAATTTTTTCCGTTACATTTTTGTACCGTCATACTCCCCGTCCGTATTGTTGTGTGCGTGTGATTGTTATTTTATCAGAGGGGGAAAATCACTAACGGAAATCGACGCGCAAAAATTATTAATGTTCGGCATTCGTACGGGAATCGTAACATTGTAAAATATCGTCGGGAAAAATACTGCGGACTGCATCAGAATACGGTGCGCACGCTGTTCGCGAGTGATTTATCCTCGGCGCGTTATTATTTACGGGTTTTTTTTTTTTTTTTTTTTTTTTTTTTTTTCGTTTTTTTTTTTTTCACCCGAGACGTATTATATAAACCGTGACGGCGTTTACGTCTTCCTCCTCTCCCCCCCTCCCCCCCACCCCGCGTTTCAACAACTGTACGGCCGCTCGCCCGCCGCCGCAGAGAGATCGCGCCGTGTTGTACCGTCCGCGATTCGTCAGTACCGTTGTCGCGCAGAATTCTCCCGGGAAATTCGACCGCGGTTATCGAAGTCTCGAGGATCGATTTTTTTTTTTTTTTTTTTTATTTCCAGCCCTCCCACGGCGAAAAATATAACGTTTTGTACAGGGCGCGCCGGGATTCGACTGCCGCAGTGTGTCCCGTATGCAAATATTTTATGTATTTATATACTGCAGTGTACCGCGTAATCGCGCAATACTCTTATAGCCAGGGCCTAAAATACATCAGATTTCAGGGGGGGGGGGGGGGAGGCACACTTTTCAATTCAACTGACAGAGTAAATACCGTGTATTGGTTAGAGTGGCCTCATTAATTGATTGTTATCATCTTTAAAAAATGTCTACAATAAAAACTAACGCGCGCAATATTTATTAAATTTGGTACACACATTCGTAATTCGGGGAACACGCTCCGTGTCAGGCGACACATTAATTTAGGCCCTGCCTGTCACGTGTATTTTATTGCAGTACACAAGAAACGCCGTCGGATCCCGCGGGGTTAGCGGGCGAGCAAACAATAGGCTTTACTTTTTTTTTTTTTTTATCTCTTTCTCTCGAAACTTCGTTTTGATGTTGATAATTTTCGTTAGGCAATTAGATGCGCATTATACGCGCGCCTATAGTTTTTTTTTTCTCTTCGAATTTAAAGAATAACCGACGAAACAGACCGTTATAATACAATACGCGATACGCTGCCGGTAACGACGCGCGTTGTTTCCGTACGGACGTTGCGCTAGTTTTTTTTTTTTTTTTTTTTTTTCCATTATCTCGGGATACAAATTTCGGAACGAAACGGGCGGATAATATTTAATACAGCCGAATCCGCCTCCCCTCCCCGCACATCATACGATTACACGTAATAATATATCGTACGCGCCGCGCAGGCCGTGTAAACGCGGTGATGTGTTTATAGAAAACGCGCGTGTACACTTATTACTAAATGTGTGCCTATTTATATTAAAAAAAAAAAAAAACTAAAAACCTCGCTTATTAACGCGAGAGACAATCCGAAATAATAGTATAACGACGACGGTAATAATAATACGGTCTGTTAATAATACGTTACATACCCATGCGCGATGCCCACTGTTTCTGTACGCAATAATAATCATAATAATATTCGGCGTCTTAATTGTAAAAAATAAAAAAATTGTTCTCCCGTTAATATTACGAATAGAAAAAAAAAAAAAAAAAGCAGACGTAATTATACATAATAATATTGTGTGTGGTTGTTGTATGGGTGTATATATACATACCTACTTATAATATAATGTAATATTATATAGATAACGAACAATCGGACGGAGGGGGGAAACCGTTATTCTGCTTCTAATGTTGTAATAATATGTACGTTTAATCTTTTTATTTATTTTATTTTTTTTTTTAATACAATGTATTATGTATTATATTATATTTATATATATTAAATATATCTAACCTTTAATATGATAACGATGTATTTGATTAAATTTGTGTTTGTTTTATTTTTTTTGTTGATATTATTATTAATGACTAATAAAATTGCTTTAGTCCGCTCTATATAAAAAGCCGATATTTTTTTTTTTTTTTTATTATCATTAGTATTATTATTCTTCATTATATTCTTATGAATACTGTTTTTTGTTTGTTTTTTTTTTCTGACCGAGCGTTTTCGGATTATCACAGAGCCGATACACACCGCAGGAATATTATTGTCGTCTTTTACGAGTATATTATACACGAATACATTAACAAACAATATTTTTTCGTGCTTGTTTTTTTTTTTTTTTTTTTACGCATAATATAATTCATATCTGTCGAACTCGAGACAGGCGAACCATTATATTACGTATATTACCCACTTATATACATATATACGTAGGTGAACGTTTTGATGCGGTATGGACATAAACTTTAAAATATTAAGTTGTACACAAACATTAAGTGAATTGGATTTTTAGTTTTTATTTGGTAGGCATTATATGGTAAATTGAATAGTTAGTTAATTGTTCGACAAAACAGAAATGTTTGGAAATTTAACACGGCGTTCATTGTAATAAGTTGTACTTGGCGGTAAAAAAAAAAGAAAAGAAGAAAAGTCGAGCGTAATATAGTAATTTTGTATTTGTTTATAGGCGTTTAAAAATCAAATTTCGACGAAAATCGTAAACATTTAAAAACGTGTGTAACCGAATTTCGTTCAGAATCGTTTTTCGTTACAGCAATAGTTTAAAATATATAAATTAAACGACCGTTTGTATCCTCTGTAACCTTCCCGACTTCTCGGGCGTACAATAGTTGACACGCCCGTTCCCAGTATAATCGACTTTTTTTTTCAACTATTACGCTTGGTTAACTTTTGATATTTTGTTTTCTCCGTTAACTGCGTAATAGGTACCTATACGTATTACTGTAATATTATTAACTCGAGTTAACATTTCTTAATATTCGAGTATAATATGGCAGGTACCTATAAAAATTGTAATATTTCGGAGGCGTACAGGTTGAAAATTTAATTTTTAACCGGCCCGCCGGTAAATCCAACACGGAAATATCGCGCTAAACATTGAGTATACCCGTGCGGTATGTTCGACAGTTAGTATGGTTTCTTTTTTTTTTTTTTTTTTTTTTGTTTTTCATACGATCGCGGTGCGCGTGTACACACGCGAATACTGAACCACAGGCAGTGGCAGTCGGTTCGGTAAAATCGGCAATTTCCCGTNCAACACGGAAATATCGCGCTAAACATTGAGTATACCCGTGCGGTATGTTCGACAGTTAGTATGGTTTCTTTTTTTTTTTTTTTATTCGTCGTTTTCACCCGACGAGTTAAGTATTATATTTTCGGGAAGTCTAAATTACAATCGAGTTGATTACGCTGTTTTCGTCGACTGTGTACGCACGCATTATTGATGTTTGCTGTTGCTCACGCGCATTACGTTACACGGTTACGCGTACGCGAAGAGACCGACGGTGTCTATCGGATATTCCGTATGCATGCGAACGTAAGAGGAGAGCCCGCGCGAATATCATTCGGGGGGCCGGATTTATCGTTATAATATGTTATACGGCTGGTATACACGCGTCCGGTCGTGTTTTTGTTTGTTTTTGTTTTTCATACGATCGCGGTGCGCGTGTACACACGCGAATACTGAACCACAGGCAGTGGCAGTCGGTTCGGTAAAATCGGCAATTTCCCGTCGCGGTTTCGCGCCGGCCGCCGGTACCGTATACGTACAATTACGGTATGTTATTATTATTATTTTCTGACTCGTTCGCCGTTTCTAGTGCGGCCGTAATAACGATAACGTTTTAGTAAAACGGTTTCGAGACCGCGCTCGCTCGCGCGGCCGTCGTTCGGGTGTACGGTACCGCCGGAATATGGTCGGCCGCAAATGGGTATTTGCCACTTGCGCGATGGCCGTACCCGTGATCGGCCGTCATACGCGACGGGCCGGGTCGTTTAAAACGTTTCGAAACGGGCCGGTGTTGAATCCGAACGCCGTGAAACCGTTTCCCCCTCCCTCCACAACCGCGCACACCCCCCCACACCCCACCACCCACTCGCTTATACCGAAACCAAACCGGCCGTTGTCGCCTGCGCGTGTACGGAAACCGCGGACCGTCTTGCGCGCGCCTCCTACGTTCACGGAGATGAACGGTACCGATTGTTATGAGAACAACGTCCGCGGCCGTCGCGTGTGTTGTCAATGTCTGCGATTTCGGGTCCGACAACAGTAGACGCAGTAAACTCGCCGTACTCCGCGCGCCGACAATGTTGCGACGGCGCGCCGTGACACGGAGTCGCGTCGCACTCGTGATCGTCACAAAGAACGGATTATAAACGGCCGGGCCGCGTTTACAGTTCGTTTGGTTTTCCGAGGAAGTCGTTGTGAAAAAACTATTGCGACGTTCGGACTGGAATCGGAGTTCAACCGCGAATAAAACAAAATTAAAGCTGCATCTGTTTGAAAAAAAATTTGAAAAAACTAAAACGGCTGTAACTTTCGTTTGAGATAATATTTTTAGAGAAAAATCTGCGTACAGCCCCCGAGAACGTCCCGCTCTGTAAATTTGATTATTTGTGTTTAAATTCAAAACCTAAACGCCACAATTCAATTTTCCAAGTTTTACGAGAGAAATATATCGATGCAAACGCACAGTCAATATGGATCTGGCCTTGTGCATGGTATTAGACCTACGCCGCGCTAATAGGTGCACGTCGTGTTACATATAATAGGTCCCCCGTTGACGGCCCGACTCCCCCCTCCCCGGTCGATATTAATTATTTTGTTATGATATAATAAGATATTTTGTTTTCGTTGTACAATAATTAGAGCAGCGGCGACACACTGGCCCCGAAAACCGCGGCGTGTCCGTTTCCGCACCAGTGCAGTGGCGTTAATGCGTTATATTTGAGATTTAGTCGAGGTGATGGAGATTATATTGAACTTGGATATCGTGTCGTATATTGTATGACGTGTCCTATTACACTTAACCTATCGATAGCCTTGAAAGAAAAACATCAATTTTGTATAATTTTTTCCAAGTATATTTTTGTGAGTAATTTATTATAATTCAGTCTGCCTTAAAATTATCGTTGATATCAAAAAAAAAAAAAAAAAAAAAAAAACTATATCACATATTATTAGTTTATTTATACTATTTAGAAATTAAAAATACACATCTTACATCGCACATGTGTATTGTTGCGGTACGGTATCGTTTAAAACTAGAAAATATAGACAATTTTCGAGTTATTTATTCGATATAGTGTATATTTTTGAATATAATAGGTATCGACAAGTTTTTTCGACTGTAAAAATAAAAAAATTTGAATTGTAAAAATACGTAAAGTCGCGTAAATAACAGATACTAAAAAAAAAAAAAGATCAAGAGGGGAGATATAACTACCTAATCTCCCTTAAATACGCCACTGGTCATATCTGTAGCTGTCGTTTACTATTATACGACTTATACGAGTTTATTATAATTTTATAATATGACCCCGGTATATTATATACACAGTAAGTGGCCATTTTTATTTTTTTACATACGTTTATAAAATACCGAGTCGTGCGTAAACTTTACGATCATTACATGTTTACTTTATCAATCCGTTTATAAAATTTTTGTTCTACGCAAATTCAAATAAGTAACTACTACTACCTATAACATAATAACATTTAATTGAATTAGGTTGTTTAACCGTATTTAAGTTTACTACAATTGAACGAGAATAACATTTTTTTTTTTTTTTTTTTAGAAAACACATTTTCTATAACCACGGTATATAGTTATAATATTATACGTATAGCCGATGAAAGTGCTTCATAGAAATTGCTGCGGATATATTAATATAATATTATAGTGACGATGATGCTTTCGACTGCATGCAGTGGAAATTGGGCGTACCAATATTATGTTGTAGTGCTCGTTGTAAATTATTATATTATAGTATTAAAAAAAAAAAAAAAATGTTCACGGAAACGACATGGTTATTTAATCGCGCGAAAGAAAGAATGAAAAAAAAACAGCTTCGCCACTCACTCGTCGCGGAAACCGTTTGTTTTTTAAAATTAAAATTCAACAAGAGTTTGTAAATATTATTCTTAGATTCTGAAACGTGAGTATATTTCATTATGAGTTTTAACGAGATCGAGCGACGGTCACGTCATCGTCATCTACTCGAGTACTCATCGTTCGAAAAAAAAAAAAAAAAAAAAAAACAAAATGTCAAAATATCGCAAATATTGGCCTACTCATCGACGTGCGTAAAGAATGTCTGGTGTTTTATTTATTTTTCCATTGTCTATAATATTATTATTGTTAAGAGGATATGACCGCATATTTGCTGCTATCTCGGTTCAACCAACAGGCATAGTAAAAATTACGTATAACTATTAGAATTAGAATTTCGTGATGACGTTCAGGTTGAAATCGTCAAAGCGTTTAAACACGGGTGAACAAACTAACGTGGAAATTATTTTCCAGTGAACCGCGTCGCTCAAAACGTCGTCAAATGAAAATGTTACAGCAATATTAGTTTTTAGTTTGTTTTTTTTTTTTTTTATGAAAATTAGCTTGTTTTGTTTGACAATATATTAGGTAAAAAACAACTTGGTGCGCTCCCGAAAATAATCTTCTCATTAAATCGTGTTGATCTAAATACCAAAATTTTATAGTTGTGTAATTTATAATCGCCATGCTGCATTGTTGCGCGTTAGTTGGATTTAGGCAGTAAATTAAGAGGCAGCTACTCGTGCATTTGTCTTCTACGTTTTACAAACGCACATCATGTTCATTTCAGTAGAACCGATTTCAGGATAATAATTGTAATATTAAAGTGAATTGACTTATTATTAAACCTATAGAAAAGAACATCATCATGTGTTTATATGTTGGTTTTTAATTTTCAAACGAAATATGAACGTGGGAACTATCACAATTTAAAATAGGCTTGCTTAAAAATGAAAATAACGTAAAAATCAACGTACAAACAGCGTTATCAACGTGTAATCAACGTATAACCACACGATGAGTAATTGTTTTGATTTTAGTTTTGATATTTATAGAGTCAATCCACGCTAAACTAAAAACAAACGATTGATTGTGCTAAATGCAATTTTCCTAAGACGTGCGTTTGTAAAACAGAGACAACAAATATGCGTCTTTTTAAAACGTTTTATTTCTGCACGCCTCGAACTGACGAGCTGCCCCAGCGGATAATGTTCAATATCGCGCGGACTTTATACACATAAATTCAAGTCAATGTCAAGTCTTATTATTATTAAATTGTTAAAAAGGTTTAACACGGAAATTCGTTTCGATGATTCGATACACGGGATTTTCCATATTTCCATACATACCTACTGAGGTTTTCGGCATTTACTAGGCAAAAAAAAAATATGGTTATAGGTTTTTAATGTGGATGTAAAAATCTAATTTTTTTCCCATATGTATTGTATATTATTTATGAGAATACCTATTGACTATAATATTATGACAAAAATAGAATGTGTTTTGATTTTTTTTTTACTCGGAAAACGATTTTATACGATTAATAAAAATACTCAGATTTATTCATTTCATACATTGAAAAATTCGGATTTTTTATGCGGTTGCATTTTATTTAAATATTTATCGACATTTTCAGCAGTTAATTTTCATAGGACCTTTATTTTGTCGTTTAATTTTTGTTGCTTTCCGGGTTACCGTGGCAACAATAAAGGGGGAAATACGACTAATACGTATTGCTTCAGAATTATATTTTCGTATTTTACAGTACATAAACTAATAATTACCTTGCATATCCTACCTTCCCAACTAAGTTCACCTACAGCAGTGGCCTATAAATAACTGTGAGCAGTTTTAACTTTTTTTTTTCACTTTCTATTACGGTACAAAAATTAAATATATTTTAATAATACCTGCGGTTTGTCGAATACGATTCAGTACACGCGTATTTATAGTTATGGTCGTAGTTTTAACTGTTTTGACGCATAATAGTAGTACAGGTACACGTGTTTTTTGACGTGTAAAAGTCGTACTGCAGACGTTCCTTACATTATTATACGAACGTCGTTCGTGGTTTTACGCATTCTTCACTGCGGGTACCTGCTAAACAACTGCACATTAAACGTGTATTGTGTTTTTTCGTTGTCTTTTTTTTTTTTCAGCATTGTTGGTACCATAGTAATATACGAGCTTCATTGTTTCATATTTCCTATAGGTATTATATACATATACATTGCATCAGCAGTCAATTCACCCTCGAAGCTATATCGGGTGAGGGTGCCAAACACGACCAGACACGAACCATATAATTTTACATTATTATATTGTATCCCTTCTATAGGTAGGTATATTATACTTATCGTTTCCGCCCATCAGTCTGTTCCATTTTGTAGCTATCCGTAGGTATAATACAATGCAGTTCGTATTCGGTCCGTATAAATACTGCAGTACTGCATGTAGTTAGATTAGCTGTTTAAACCGCGTATAGCTGTGCGTTGCTCGTCATTTTGTTTTGTGCACAAAATAACCACCAAGGCGTCTCAATAACATATTTTTCCGTCAAATACGTAAGTAAAATAATTTATTTTTATATTGTTTTAATGATAAAACCGTGTGTATAAAAAAACGATATTTATATTATTATTTTCCGCGACACCAAACATATAAAAACGTTTATTTGTTTTACACTTAAAGACAAAACATTGTCCGTGTTAGCCTATGATTTTGGATTTTTTTTAAATTATTTATCTTCTATATAATTACCGTTTTATGTACGTTACATAGTAATAAAATGTCAACATCAGTTATTTAATCAATTATATTATTAAAATATCAAGAAGAAAAAAACTATACGATTATCTTCGCAACATTTTCAAGTTAAATTAGAATAAATAATATTATTTATTTAATTATAATATTATCATTATAGTTTTTTCGGACATATTATAATCGGATATCATCAAACAACACGAACTTTTCAATAATAATATTATATTATAACCAGTGATGTACCTACACACGAAATTAAATTTGTGTAGCAAGTTGAACAGCTAATATAGCATACCATTAATACCCTCCCCAAATCGCATTAAACCGCACCAAATTAGCATTATATTTTAGATTCGTAACGTAGCTAAAAATGTATCGGTTTTATAATGATGTTTTTTAATTTTTTTCTTTTTATCTGTGAACAACTTTTCTACCAGAAATCTTGCTCCGATTTTCAAGTGTTGTATCTATTCCAAAAGGAAATTTTACCTGGGTAGTATTTTCTGGTGGAAATTTGACTATTATAAATAGCTAATTGTTATCAAAAAAGAAAAAACATTTCTTTTCTTATTCATATTTTTATACTGTTAATACGGAGCGGTGGAGGTTAGGGGCGTATACATAAATATAGTCTGAAAATATATAGCACTTGAGCCCAATAGGTTTTAGAGTATACACACTAAGACTAAATTAATTAAAATATTACAAGTAAGGCTTGAGATGACTCAGAAAGGGGGACTGAAAAAAAGGGGACTAAACATTTTACTTTATATAAGAAAAAGGACTGCGACTCTTCCACACCCTCCTCACTTCAACCACTACTCTCATTGAAAATTATCCGGTTCGTCACTGCAGTTCAGTATCCCGCTTGCCTTCTAAACACGATCCTCTATAATTTATATGTATATTAATCGTTTACTATCGATGCTAAATGAGAGGACATTTGAGTCTATCGTAGATAATTTTCAAGTCCATATCTTATAATATAACTAGAAAAAATATTGCACTAAATAAATTTTCTTTTCGGCAGTTTTACTATATAAGTTTGTAGCGTGATCACCTGATGATGTATATGTGCCTACCCGCTGCAAGATTGTCGCGTATGAATTCACCAAAAAAAAAAAAAAAAAAAATAAAATAATTGTAATAATAATTAAAATTAAAATTACCGAATGCATTAAAAATATGTGTGCTTACATGGTTAGGTATACTGTGCACACTGATTGTAATCTTCACTCGGTAATTTATATAGTATTATATATAAACGAGATACCTACGCGTAAAAGAGACGAATAAAGCATCGGTAGGTAGCAGTAATACTGTTATGTAGTATAGTAAGTATAGTAAGTAGTGTTCTTGAAGATCTTTATCGAATTTGGGAATAAGTACTCCATTATAATGTAATTAAGTCTCTATTATTTTGCCTTATTGCCGGTGCAGCTGGCATGACACCAGTGTCCTATTTGTTATTTCGGTTGTAACAGCCGTATAACAGTTACACGTATTTTACGTTATTATTATAAAACGAAAAATCGTTCGGTTCGTGCCGGCAATAATATTATGTTTTCAGTTGGTCGCCTTTAACTATGTACATGTATATATATATATATTGTATATGCCAGGTAAATAAAAAAGGCCGGCGTCAGAGCAACTGGAAAATTACAATTTATACTTGTGCGAGTTGACGAATTAATTTTTGGAAAGGTACGTACCGAAATTGAAGTTCATTATGTTATTAATAATCTGCTTTTATTGCGAATTGAGAATTATAATCTGATCTAATAACAAAATTTCGAAAACCGTCAGCTACAAAGTATGACACAATAATATTATAAAAACTCTGTCCAAAACATTACTCGACTCCACATATATTTAAAAAAAAAAAAAATCAAGTACATAATATGTACTTGTATATATACATATTACTTTATATATTATATAAATATAGCTGTACGGCATATGCATTTAAATTCAAAAGTATTGGTTTTTGAATAGGTACCTAAGTGCCATATCATATTGTTTACTTAGTTGGCCACCTGGTGTAACACACATATTTTCATTTATACCTACTTAAAACGTATTCGTATGCATTTGATGCTTTGTGACTTATAGGGGGTGGGATTCCAGTGGCATACAATCGTACATTAAATGTTATACTTTTTTATAAATAACGTATACAGTTACTTATTCAACAAATTTACAAGATCGACTGTGAATTTCTGTAGGTAGGTAGGTATACCGAATATAATGAGATAAAAGACCATTATTTAGATATTATTTAGAATCGTATATTTAGATAATTTTTTTTTTTAGTATTTCATATTATAATATTATTTCGTTATAAATCCGAAAATTGAGAGTATACTCGTAAATTATTATAATAAAACGAAATTCAAACAAAATTTTTATACGTTTAGAGATATTTTTATTTTTGCGTTAAAATTCGCATTTTCAATTGTATTTCGTTGTATTACACGTTTTAGTACATGATTAAATTTCACAGTTTTTACTTCTTACCGTTGATTAGCGGAGATATTTTTTTTCCGATTTCTTTAACAGAAAGCGCGTTTAGTACAAATATTACCCCAATCCCAATACTTATATTCTATTGAATCGATGACTTTATTATTTTTAGCGAGTAATAAAAGTATGCGTATTTTAAAATTATTGCACCTGTACGGTAATCTTATATATTGCTCAAGTGTCGAACAAAATATCCATAAATAGTATGCTTTTTTGATGAATAATTAATTGAAGTCGATCTGGAAGAGCGTAGTGATATCATGTGTACGTATTTATGAGACCATTTAATTGGAAACAAATTACGGGGGTGGGGTCCCAGTTTCATTATACATATTTTAGGTTTCGTATATTTCACGTCCGAACGTACACCGCTGGACGTCCCCTCCCTTTTTCCAGTTGTGGCTTTGACGCCTATACAATTCAAGTTACAATTATAAAAAAAAATAAAAAAAATATCTAAACTTATTTTTTTTAAACCTGCCGTCGATTGACGTGGTCTTCATTGCGATGGAACATAATGATTTTTCAATCTGTCACACAAAAACATCAGGTACGCCATCGTTATTCAATCCAATGTCCATCAGCAATCCAATCGATTGTTTGTATAGTGTGTGTACTTTTGGGGAACGTATGTACACCAATACAGTGCCATGAGCATAATTGCACAACGTTACATAATATTACGGAACACACATAATTATGTTACACGCGTTATCTATATTATTATTACCTACATGTCCGACAAACGTTGTCGTTTTATTTCGAAAACCGTAATGTCAATAAAGTAATAATAATAATAAAAAAAAAACGTAGGCGAGAGCACCTATATATGTGTATAATGTAT